TGGACACCGAGAAGGAGAGAGATGCCCAGGCCATCTTTGAGCGCAGCCAGAAAATCCAGGAGGTCAGTCAGCCGTGACCTGTAAAGCCAGAGCTCTCGGGGGGCAGATGATACGTTTGTCTATTTAGTCATGTGCTTTACCCCGTGCCTTGTCCATCCCACCAGGAGGGTTTGCTGAGTCCTGAGGGGCTGCTTCCCAGTTGAAGTGGGGGTAAGGGGTTAGTAGGGGAGAAGGGCCCGGGTTCAAATCGACCTGCTTACTGCAAGCAGTCGGAAGCAGATTCGCCACGGGTGCCTGGTCGTTTACATGGGAGCTGTGGTTGAGAGGTCTCAGCCTGGAACAAGGGATGCTGTAAATCAGGCCAAAGCAGCTTTGGCAGAACTGACTGGAATAACAGGGTTCTGCAGGTGTGCTGGCAGAGGGATGTGTGTGAATGTGTTGGTGGGGCAGGACTGAGATAGCACTTGGGGCTGCAGAGGGGACGGCAGAGCTGGGTGTGGAGAGCCCAGGGCTGGAATAGCTGGGGGCTGTGGGTCAGGACTGAGGGGCACCGGCAGAGCTGGGTGTGGAGAGCCCAGCGCTGGAATAGCCGAGGGCTGGGGGTCAGGACTGAGGGGCATCGGCAGAGCTGGGTGTGCAGAGCCCAGCGCTGGAATAGCCGAGGGCTGGGGGTCAGGACTGAGGGGCACCGGCAGAGCTGGGTGTGCAGAGCCCAGCGCTGGAATAGCCGGGGGCTGTGGGTCGGGATTGAGGGGCATTGGCAGAGCTGGGTGTGCGGAGCCTGGGGCTGTGAGTCAGGACTGAGGGGCACCAGCAGAGCTGGGTGTGGGAAGCCCAGGGCTGGAATAGCCGGGGGCTGTGGGTCGGGATTGAGGGGCATTGGCAGAGCTGGGTGTGCAGAGCCCAGCGCTGGAGTGGAGGTGAGGGGCTGCAGGTCTGGACTGAGGGGCATTGGCAGATCTGGGTGTGGGGAGCCCAGGGCTGGAATAGCCGGGGGCTGTGGGTCAGGACTGAGGGGCATTGGCAGAGCTGGGTGTGCAGAGCCCAGCGCTGGAGTGGAGGTGAGGGGCTGCAGGTCTGGACTGAGGTGCATTGGCAGAACTGTGATGGGCAGCCAGTCCTGTTCCACACCTTTCTTCCAGGAGCACCAAATTCGCCCACTGATCTTGAAAAATGGAGGTGGGGGGAAGCTTTATATTCCCTAAGTTTGACAAGCCAAGTATAAATCCCTTTCCCTGGTTACAGTGGGCACCTCCTGGCTTTTATGGGCATCCCCAGTGCTCTGAGAAGGGAGCTGGGGGGAGGATGGATATCAGAGGAGGTTGGGGGCTGGCGGGGCCGGGAAGCAGATCTAGGGGACTGGGAGATGGAGCTTTCTTCCCGGACCGTTTTCTTGCTTTCCCTATGTAGGAGCTACGAGGGAAGGAGGACGATAAAATTTACCGGGGCATCAATAACTATCAGAAGTACGTGAAGCCCAAAGATACGTCGATGGGGAACGCCTCCTCGGGAATGGTCAGGTAGGTGC